TGTATATATATGTATATATATATATATATATATATATATATATATATAAAGGAAACACCAGGTGAGCAAGCGTCTCTCAGATGTGAGAGAGAGCGCCGACAATTCGGGTTGAAGAGTTCAGTGTCTGATGCCTGATACGTCGATGCCTCACATCTGACAACACCGATGTTGTGTTTTCCTCCGCACGAACCGGGAGCAGTCACGCTGCCACGCCGACAGACGTCGGACTGGATGTGACGGGGCCACCGTGAACAAACGAATCAAAGCAGCAGATACGGGACATGGCGGGCTTTTAGCACTGTGTCGTAAGGGTGTAGTTATTACAAAAGTATACAGTCTTTCTTCTGAAGTTCAGACTGATGGGTGATATCGCACCGTGCAGAGATATTTTGGTCAGCAGTTGATAAGATTTTGTATGTAGCTCAATAAGGGTCGTTTTCAGTTGTTTTTTTTGGGGGGGTGGGGGGGGGGGACTATTTTGGTGTGATGCTAACACAGGATGCTAAGACCCCTGTTTTGAGGTCCAATACAACCAAAAGCTGGTATAACATAAGGAAACCTAAACCCGATCTTCACATGCCAGGAATCAGATTTTAGATGCTACAAAAGGCCACCGTGAATATAATAATAATCATGATTTAATTCTGCTATCTCGAATGTTTGAATCTGCCATCGCTGTAAACATGCTGCCCAACACCGTGGATGTTCTTGGACCATAGAGAAGCTAAAGGGAGTAGGATTTCCCCTTGGTGTCTATGGGGAGACTCGCCACCTCCTACAGGATTCTCCACTCGGCTGGGAGTTCACTTTAAACCACACACACACAGAGCCCCCTTATCAAGTGAACTCTCCTCTTTTGTAAATCTTGCCAGGGCTCCGGTGTGACGGATCATTTAAACCCATGATAGATTCGAGGGAGGCTGATGATAAATACTGCTTCGTGCTCCAGCTCCTGGCATTGCAGCAGCAGCTCAGACTTGAGTTAGGGAGGAGTTTAAACTGCTGCTAGTTAGCACACGGCAGCAATGAGCATAATGACTCTGGGCTTTGTCTTTGAAGCTGCTAACACACACTCTGTATCAACATAACGTATACACAGTTACAGTATCAGCATTATCTTTAAATACAGCCACATTTATCAGCTGTAGACATAACGCCTCATTCAGACCACGCTGAACGCACTATACTGTATTACTTATTGACTAGACTTGTAAAGAGGAAGTGTGGCTTATCAGTAATGACTTCTGTCAATCTGTAAGTAGGCCATTGATCTTTTTTCTTTTAGTGTTTTTCTTTAAATGGTGTTATAGACTGTGTGCATTTTCTTCCAATATATTATATCTGAAGTTCTGTGAGATTTCTTGCTTTGGAGTCTGCCAACGTCTGGCTTTATGCCTCAGCCTGCTGAACCTCCGGATGCATTTATAATTCAGTTGTGAAATTAATTGAGAGAAACGACCATCGTCTTTAATGCTGCGACAACACCATCAAGGCTGGTTTGACTCTCATAAGCGTGATAATCGATGCAGATATAGAATCTGGGCCGGAATGTTTATTGGAAGCTGCAGAAGCTTGCTGCAAAAATACTGAAGAATTAGTCTGACCGTTGAAACGGTGACTCCTCTTGAGTCGTTTACTTATTGCAATCAATACATGCATGCATAGATGCATGCATGCATGTATGCACATACTTTACTGATGAGGAGAGCTGATGGCAAGACCACAAACCTAATTACCACATAACTGGCTCATTGCATTTGGCAATGGTGACACTAGAAGCACACAACAGGAAGTGGCTGCCCTTTCTAAAGAACTAAGACACGCACTGTGTGCCAACGCATCTTGTAAAGTCGTGATGAAATAACATTGGCAGTTAAACTGTAAACTGCTGGTGCTTCTCACCTAATAAATAAGATGATTGTTGGGACAGATTAACCCGACTTCTAGACTGAAGTGGCCTTTTGACTCAGACTAAGTTAGTCAGGGACAGCAGTATGTCAACAGTGACACATGCATTATCAGGACAGTTTAACTGTGGACTGACTAGCACCACCAGCCATACCAGTCTTTATAGACAGAAACTCAACAGAACTTGCTCTCTAATTTGCATGTCAACCATTTCCTTGTGAGGCGATGTCACTGCTGTCATATACAGAGAAGTGTTGTACCCACAACTAAGAACTGTGTTCTCATGCAACTGTTTCCATCAGCACCAGGTGTTTTACATGTTGCCTAACTTCCCCTTTAACACCTTATGAGGTGATGTTCATCACTTTGGCTTTGTTGGCGCTAGCTAACGGGTGCTAAAATTGGTAGCAGTTGTTGAGCTCTTTAGCTTGACAGCAGTGGGGGGGGGGGTGTCGTTGACAACCCATTTCATGAAAAGTGACATTATAAAATAAAAAAGCAACAGTATGTAATATCAGTGTTTCTATACTGCAGTAAACGTTCCTGTTCAGCAGTGTTCTTATCATTCGCCTCACTGTCTGGTTGTCAGGTCGGTCATCGGGGCCTTTTTGGTAACTCCTGGTCCCGGAGCTCCCAGCTTCTAAAACTCAGGCTCTGTTATTCCCTCCCTTTCTCCTCCTCTCTCTCTCTCTCTCTCTCTCCCTTTCGTCACTGGTTACGTGGCGCATTAGTTCCTCTTCTGTTCCCTTTTGTTTATTGTACTTTGAAACTGACACACAAACACACACGCGCACACCGCTCTCTCCCCCTACACCACTGACACCACTTCCCATGCCGTTAGATGTTCTGCTATGTACAACATTTGAAACTGTGTGTCTCCCACTTTGTCGTATTTTACACGTAGTTTGTAATTTTTTTTAATCTATTTAATGTTAAACACTTTGGGGCTCCATGTAAGGGAGCGGTTTGTAATTGGTTTGATGGCTCTGACATGAGACGAAGGATCAGCCTGTTACCGTTTTACCACAGGCAGCATAAACACACACACGGTAAACAATATGGTGGCCCGACAATAACCGTCCTTTTCAGGAATTTGCAAGGACCCAGGGTGCACACCTGTCAGCTAAAAAAAAAGCTTTATCTCTGGAAAATGTCTCCATGTATTTTTAAGTGGCGGATTGTTCATCTAATGGATCCTGCGTTTGTTACAGATGTTGTATTCACAGTGCAGGTTAATATGAGTTGATGGGCGGGCTGCAGATCAATCACTGAGACGTATGTTCCCCTGGCCGGTGGGTAGTTGTACAACAGATCTCAACTAAATTGCTTTCTTGTAATTCTGTTTCCAACCTTTGCCTTCCAGGCAGACCAACTTTTTTTTTTTTTTTTTCTCATGTCAGATGGTGTTTCGAACCAATCCATGTGTGCGGTATCCTCCAGGCTCCCAACGGCACAGCCACAGAGCATAGATGAGATGTTAACTATGATGACAATGCACACTGTAGCCCGTGTTCTCATTTGATCAGGAAGCCGACATGTTGATGTGAATGCTTTTCGAGGGAAATAGAAACCGATTTTAAACAATATAACATGTTAAATGAAGTATCCGCAGCCTTCACGTGGAGCTGTGAATATGTTGTTGTTCTGGTAAACCGTTTGTGGTTCCACTGTAGATTTAACCTGGACTCAAAAGGTTTGAATCCGTCAGTCGTCATGTAAAAGCTTGACCAAAGTGCATCAGTCCTTTCCCGATATCGCAGAGAATTGTCAACATGAACTCGGTGGAGTGGGCTAATTCAAAGCAGCGTCAGTCCAGGATTCATACACGTCCATGGTCATGCCGTTCTCTAACAGAAATTGATTATTTTCCTCCTCCCGGTTCCACGGGCAGCGAGTTGTAGAACGTTTCAATCGACAGCCCTGATTGAAATCAGGCAATAAAATACATTAACGGGATTGTTTGCGTTGTTGGTCGCGGGACGTATGAGGTGCTTGTCTGTAGTCGGTGTATTAGATGCCACAGACTCGACAAAAACAGGAGTTTCTGGTCTACAGCTGCCTCCATGGGTCATTTAGTCAGTGTTATTGTGTGACTCTGGTGTTTTTAAAGGGTTTAGTTGGGATTCGTCAACACCTGCCAGTTATTTGAATACATTCAAATCCACCATAACTGTTTGACCAACTTCCTGGGTCCCGTCTGGACTTTTTTTCTCATTTGCAGCAAGAAGCCCTGTGCAGTCTTATTATATCAATAAAGACTTGTTAAAGCAATCTGTCCATTGTCTTTACTTACAGCACCGAATGCTAGAAGCTCTTGGAGCATCCAAGCTGTTCCACAATGTGACCGTGTGGTTTCTCACCTCTCTCTGTGCTTTCCTCTACAGATCTTCCTGCTGGCCTGCCCGCCATGTAAAACAGCAATGGTTGTATTTAGGTGAGTACATTTCCCCCTGGCTCTTTGATGTTTTTTGGCCGTGTAGATTTGTTCAGTGCTCATTATAAAAAAAGGGGCCACGACTCTCAGTCATCCACCCTCCACGTCAACCGATCAGGTCCCCGTGTGTACTGAATGTAAAATAAATGTCGGGCAGACGGACTCAAATTACACCCGGGTTTTACGGTCGATGATTGTAATTACTCGTGGCGTTTTATTGTAATGGATTTGTCGGGGTTTATAGTCTTTATCTTCTCCACAACAGCTCCGGTCTGGGCAAGTTAATTATTCAGGAGCAATGAGAACACAACACAACGTTGGATTTACTCCGAAATAAAGACGAGCCGGGTCACTTTGTGTTGCACGTAGCTCACGGGAGCCACATAGCGAGCAGCTGCAGTGAGCTGCGTTTCAGCTGAAACGACCACAAAGCAGTGAGTCATAATGAAACTGGGAGTTTGAGCAGCTTTATGGAAACAATTTCCAACGAGACAACAAAAATACTTCAGTAGAAATAATGTTTATCCATCAGGTCAAGATGTTAACGTTTTATCTGCACCTGGATAAGAAAAGTGCAAAGTATTTGCAGCATAAACCTAAGATACAAAAAACAAAACATCAACACCTGTGGTTACCTTAGCAACAGCAAGGGTGGTTTAATACAAGGATCAAACAGTCGTTGAGCAGAAGTACAACAGAAGAGTGTCTGTTGACTAACACACAAACTCTGGTGGTAATGGAGAAGTCGGTGAATAAACTGCCTTTCTATCATGGAGGTAACAATGAAAACTACTTGATAGAGAGGCACATACATAATGTAAATACTGATTTACAGGATAAAGCAGTTTGACATTAAGAACAAATGTTTCCATCAAAAGCAGAGGCATCAAATCACTAGGATTGTGAGTGGGAGACGTTTCCTGCTGCATTTTCTTTTTTCTGGTGATCAAAGCTCAGTGAAAACGTCTGACTGTGAGAGAGGATGAAACAATATTTAAATTTTTTGCTATCTGTGCCTCCTCTTCTTGCATATGCGCAGCTCCCATTGTTGTGTGAGCGTGACCGAGTCGGACAAACACTTCAGAGAGAGAGAGAGAGAGAGAGAGAGAGAGAGAGAGAGAGAGAGAGACTTCACTTTCCACACAAGTAGCCTTCCCTTCTGCTTGGTTCCAGCTCCTTGTGTTCACTGCTGCAGGACAAAGCAAACGTAAATAATTACCGTGTGACAGCAGAATAACAATGGATGTCGTATCATAGTGTAATTATTAATATGTAGTGATCAAGATGAACGCCTATTTTCCACATAACAGTATAGCGACAGACTTGACTTGCACATAACCGACGCGTCTTTATAGATATGTCATCATGAAATACAACACACACCGGGCAAAGGTGGCTCCTGATCAATAATTGTGGTGAATTTGAATTCAAATGAAGTGGATTGTCTTTCCTAAAAGGTCTGGAGCCCCCCCTCCCCCCCTCTAGAGTGACAGCCGGGCTCACTTGAACCGACATTCCGGCAGCACTGCTGTTTTCCCAGTGACCTTGGCTGTCACAACAGTTACTCTGGCTCATCTGACGAAAAACGAGCAGTCACACAGGACGGACCCAGGGTCCCGGGCTTCTGCGAGCGGTGGCTCCTGGAATAACTGTTGGTTAAAAGGAAATGTGCAGAGGTTAACCGAGTGCGTGCGTGCTAAAGACTAGATAGTATCTGAATGTCTGCTAATGGTGAATGAGTAGCTAGAGGGGCTGATATGTCAGAATCGTGACGGCTTTGTGTGATTTCTCCATGGATCATGGATATGTGGAGTCTCTGCAACATACTGTACACACACACACACACACAGAGAGAGAGAGAGAGAGGCTCTGATTGCCTGCACCGTCAGTGACCCAGCTTCTCACCATCGACACTCCCCACTAGGCCCGGCCCCGCCAAAGACAGCTGCTGCTGCTAACGGCATCAGGGAGCACTCTGATTGGCTTTCAGCAACGCCCGAACCTAATCCACGCCGTCCTCCAGCTGTCCGTCCGCGCTCCCATCGGCTCCAATTCAAACTAATATGTCGATAATGCACCGATGCGTGCGGTGTGGAAATTATTGTTAAAATGTTCCTCGGGCAGATGTGATGGAGGACGTGAGGTTTATCGGAGCGCTTGGTTATTCTGTGTGTGTTTTCAGGCTGCAGGTCCATATGCTGAACGGTGCGTTACTGGCTTTAATGTTCCCAGTAGTCAACACTAGACTGGTAAGTCCTCCGCTCTCCTCTTCTGTCTCTGGAGTCAGGACGCATACCTGTCTTGTTCATAATTCATATATTTAAAAAAAACAACTTTTCATGACAGCCCCAACAGGAGAGCAAGTTGTAGCTCGATATGTTCTGTGAAATTGTCTCTCTTCCTTCTCAAAAATGTGAAGTTTATATGAATGTGGTTCCTCTACTAGAGCCTGAATCTGAACAATACATTCCAGCATGCAGAAGACAAAATGTTGAGCACAAAGTACAAACTTAACTGATGATGGAACTGAGCTTTTTTTTTTTTGTTTGTTTTTTTGTGAAGGAAATCTGAGGCAATCAGTTAAAATCAGCACGGCCTCCTTGAAAGTCTCTCGCTAACAGCTGCAGACGAGGACCAGATGCAGCAGATAACATGCTAACTTTAAAATCTACGCATTTGCTGAAATTAAATCAAAAGTTCTGACAGTTTGAACTTCGTCCAATTCTAACGTGACCGCTGTGAAGTTCAACAGCTCCCACTACAGAACAGTTTTCACTGCAGATCTACCGACCGAAAGTGTGAGGAATGACCACGAATCAGTTTTAACATTAAGGAGTCATTGCCTTCCTGTTCATATTGTTCACGTTCTAATCATTTTCTGATGCTGAGGTGCTGATCCCAGGTCTACTCTCTGCGACCCCTGATGACTCTATTTCACTAGCAGTAGAATAATCATCCCTGAGCTTCACTTCCTCCATCTTTCTTCTGTCGGAGTATCGCTTTCAAGCAGCGATAGCGATCAGACCACGGTTCAGACCACAGCCGGCTCCGGTTATTAACGCTTGCCTGGGGTCAGTCCGTCAGGTGCACTGCTATCAGCAGAAGTTCAGATGCTTTTTCTTTATCTCCGCGTAAATAAGAAAACTATCCAAGCATTACTGCAACAAGGGGGCTAAGAATGAATGACATTTCGGCTTAATGTGGGTTGTAAAAAAAAATCTAAATAGTTTTCTTCTCTCCTCAGCTTCCGTTTGAGAAGGAGATCTACTACATCCAGCACTCCATGCTGTACCTGGTGCCTCTCTACCTTTTCAGGAAAGGAGGTAGGTGTCGACACCGAGGGCTGAAACATCTCTCACCTGCCGACAGACACCATGACACCTTTTATCCTCAGATGGATTACCTCTTTGTTGGCGATCTTTGAGTAGCCGTAGAAACCCCGCTTTGTGTTTGTCCGCTCTACCGTGTGGGACATCGCTGCCAACGTCGGCCACACGGTTGGCTGTTTACCAGCAGGAACTGCCCTTAGAGTCCCTCGGTGGACTACAACTACAAACATACTTAAGGGCAGGCAGGTCAGATTTCAAAAACTAGCCCACAGGGTTTGGAGCTTTAATCGATAAAAGATTCACCGAGGGTGTTGCACCGTGATCAAACCTCTGCATGCGCTGCCTCATATTCTTCATTGTCGTAGTTGAGCTGACATGATTGGTGCAAATTAAGTGTCTTAACTCTTGTAGTGCTCTTAGCAAATTCCAGCAGGAGCTCAGGACACAAGAAAAGCCAGTTTGTCTACATCATGTTACTGGCTGCGCTACAGGCTGCAGGTTGTTCCACCTGCTGACTCGACTGACTTGTTGCTAATGCACCAGCACAGGGCAGTGAGGGGTTTCAGGTGGCTGGCGTTTGCACGAGAAGATGCAATTCTATGCGCTCGCTGTGTGTTGAACCCGGAAACCGGATCACGTGTTTTTAATGAGCTCTCTCTGTCTCTGTGTGTGTGTGTGCGTGTGCGTGTGCGTGCGCCTGCAGGTGTGTACAAGCCTGAGCCTCTGGGGGACATGTGGTGGGCGCTGCTCTCCACCGGCATCCTGTTCCTCTACCACTTCCTCTTCCTGCAGGTCCTCGGCTTGGTAAGACGGAGCCCTCTGCTGGCCGCTACGTGATACTTCAACTGTGCAAAGCACACGAGAGCAGCAATCGCTCCTTCAGTTGTGAGATCAGTTTCATGTAAAGGAAGAAGTCATTTCTTCAGACATAGACGTGTGTTCAACACGTACACGGTGAAATATAATGCAATACAGTTGTGCTTCAGTCAATGATATAAGCTTCTTATTAAAAAAGGTGATATTATTACACACCCATTTGACAATATTAAATAAGAAACTTCATGAACAAGCACCACAGTCTAGACAATAAGTAAATATAGCATATGCATACTTATGCTTACAGACATAAATACATACATGTGCACACAAACACACAGATGCTTATTCATGTAAGACTTTATTCAAACAAATGGTCTCATTTAGACCCAGTTTAAAAGGAAGACTTTATCCACAAAATGACTATTTGTATAAGTAACGGCTCAAACCGTTACCTCGAATTCTTAAGGAAAACTTTGCTTTTCCTCTCGTACTTCCACTGACAGAGAACTCCTTCCTGCAGCTGGTTACGTCAAAATGAATAAACTGTTCTGTGACACTTGCAATTATTTTGTCCACCCGCTGTACGTTGAAATTCGAGGCAGCAGCACGAGTGACTCGTATTGAGTTGAATACCAATTAGAAGTATAAATCCACTGAAGTTCAAAAGTGATTTTCTAAGCTTAACTTTCTACATCAGGAAAGCGTCACAACTTCAGTATTTACTGCAGCCACCACCACCACCACCACCACCCCCCCCCCCCCCCCCCCCCCCCCCCCCCCCCCC